TCAGGCTACGGATACACTCAAGTTCTCCTAAGGTAGGGAGACTGGGTGGATTAAAAATAAATAAATAAATGTCTGTTTGGAGAGTGTGTGTATGTGTGTGAGAATGTCCGTGAGTGTGTAAGCTTATGCCTGTGGTTGTGTGTGTCCGTCAGTGTTTTTGAGAGCCCGTTTACATTAGAATAGTGCATTAACTGCACAGTCCCGTGTGATTAACGCACTGTACCACGCAGTTGCACCTACCGTGCATTCTGGTATGGGAGGTGCGTTGCGATTTATTTGAATGGCACCCCAAACACACCTTGTGACTTGATAATCAAGGACAAATGTAGGACCTGAGGTTACACAGGATGAGAACCAGTGATTTAGATCAATAAGAACTGAGCCTAGGCATGAAGGTAGAGAAAAGAACAGTGAAAACCTCTCATTTTAAAGTGGGACTCCTGACTAGATTTAGTGTGTGGGTTCTACTTTCTAAGGAAGGGAGGATTGAGTCCTCTGGAGGATCCTAAACAGAATCAGAAATATGAGGCATCTCAAATTTTTCGCTTTTGTAATCAGAGGGGTCAACAAGTTGCACTGAGTCATAATGTTACTCAACATTATGAATGTGGAGTGCGTGCATGACACTATAGCTAGTAATTCAGCAGTTAATTCCTCAGTGTTCATCCTTTCTGTGCCAAAACGTGCATCCCCTCTAACTGTTGTTGAAAATGCAAGGCGGCGAGGCCCACGGCCTTCAACTCCCTCATATTTGAAGACTTGTGCCGCCAGACACGGTCCCACGTCCCCTGGCACATGAGATCCTGAAGGTGGGCTCCCCACCCCCATGCGCTGGCGTCCGTGGTGACCCTGACTGACTCCACAACCTGCCTCCCAGAAGACAGCCCGCATGGCCGATGTCATCAGCCCCAGAACTCTCATGAGTGACCTGCAGGATTCCTCCTTCGCTAGATAAAGGTTCATTACTTCTGCACCCAGCAGGGAGACTTTCTCCTAAGGGAGAGAAATCAGCCTGTTGCGGGCATCTATCCAGTACCCCAAATATTTCACAGTCTGCGAAGGGACCAGCTGGGACTTCTCTCTGTTCAGTAGCCACCCCAAGCTCTCCAAGTGGCTGATGGCGATTTCCAATTTCAGCCAGAGGAGGTCCCCAGAAGGGGCAAAAAATAAAAGGTTGTCCAAATACGGCACAACCCCTACTCCTCTCGACCTCAGGGGGGCAAGGGCCTCTGCCAGCATCTTGGTAAAAAATCCTTGGTGTGGACGACAGTCCAAAAGGGTAGTGCCCTGTACTGAAAATGGAGAACTCCAGCTGGTCCTCTGAACGCAAACCACAGTAGTTTCTGAGAGGGCTTCCGTATCGGGATGTGTAAATATGCATCCCTGAGATCTATCATTGCCAAGAATGCCCCCTGTGGTAGCAAGTCCCTTAAAGAGAAGATTGATTCCATATGGAACTTTTGGTAATGCACCACCTTCTTCAAGGGTTTCAGAAGGGTTCAAAATCAACCTGCTTTTCCCAGAGGGTTTCATCCGTGAAAGCAGATAAGAATAAAACCCCCTCCCTTCTTCCTTCTCTGGCACCTGCAGAATCACACCTTGGTCCAGCAGGTCTTGAAGGGACACCGTCATAAGTCTCGCCTTTTCTGGATCCCTGGCTAGTGATGTGATTAAATATCTGGAGGGGGGCGGACCCGTCAATTCTATCCTGTACCCTGATTTGATAAATTCCAGGATGAACGTGTTGTCCGACAGTGCTGCCCAATGTGGGAGGAAGTCCCCCAGCCTTTGGCCCACTTTGATCATGGGGTCACTGTGGTTTGGGCCCAGTTTGAGGGGGGTTAAAGCCACTCTTACCCTTTCCTCTCTTGAAAGCCCAGCTTTTGGGCTGGTTCTGCCCCTTACCTTTCCTGAAGTTTTGACCCCTTTGCCCACTAAAAAACTTTTGCTTTTGCTGTTGTTTCTTGGGCAGGGGAAAACCCTTCTTTCTGTCTGCAGACCGGTCTAACACAGTCTCCAATTCTTGCCCAAAAAGCAGATCCTCCTTAAAGGGCAATCCGCAACGGTTCACCTTGGAGGCTGCGTCCCCAGTCTACGTTTTCAGCCATAACGCTCTTCTGGAAGAGTTAATGAAAGCCCTAGTTCTCGCTGAGTATCTAACGACCTCTGCAGAAGCATCAGCTATATATGACACGGCCTTGCTCAGGACAGGGAGGGAATCCAAGATTTGTTTCCTCTCAGTACCCTCTTTCCAGGTGTGACAGCAGCTGCGCCAGCCAGATGTCCAAGGTTCTGGCCACACAAGTGATGGCAAGGCCAGGCTTGAACCCAGCGCTGGCTGTCTCCCAACCTTTCCTGAGCAAACATTCCGCTTTTTTGTCCATGGGGTCTTTTAGCACCACCATATCCTCAAAAGACAAATTCGACTGTTTCTAAACTTTGGATAGCGACACGTCCAATTTCGGACATTTTTCCCAAATCGCTGTGTCTTCCTCAGCAATGTTAAATCTGCGTTTAGGACTGGATGAAAAGAATATCTTCTTTTCTGGGTGTTTCCATTCAGATGTAATCATATCTTGCAGGGATTTGTGTACCGGAAAGGTGCGGCCCCTTTTTGGTCTGAAGCCCCTTGTACATTTTATCATGTACCGAGAGCTCAGTCATTTCTTCCTTCAACCCTAAGGTATCCCAAATGGCCTTTAGTAACTCTTAGATCTCAAAGGAAGGAAACAGGTATTTGGCCCTTTTTTGTTTCTGAAAATCTACCTCAGAGTCTTCCTCAGACTGATCATCTGGCCTCTGTGGGGAACCGGAAAAATCACTGGGTGCCTCTCCACTGGCTACACTCTCCATGTAGACATTCGAGCAACCATTACCTGAAGAACCTGGGTTGTTCTGCCCCCCTAAAAGAGGCCCCGTACTCTGAATGACAGACCAGAAAGACTGAAATGTAGAGACCATTTCCTCCCTCATGGTATCCATAAGACCCTTGAACATCCCAGCTGACTCTTTGGATACCAGCTTCTCTACACATCCCTTGCACAAGGGTTGCGACCAAGATGACGGCAGCTTGAGGTTGCAAGAGGCGCATCTTCTACCCATTGGGCGGGAAGTAGTAGCTGGAGCAAGGGGCTTATCATCTGGGGCTTTGACCTGTGTAAAATAAGAAATAAGGATGTCTTAGCCCTTGTGCCCTTGTCCATATGCCACACCTCGTGCACCACCCAAAAATCCTGGATATAGTTCAGAGAGCTATCCGCTTGCCCTGCCAAAGCAGGCCCCCCAACGCAAGCAGGGATAGGCAGGAGAGAATTTCCCAAATAAAAACTTGCCTACCTTTGCGCCAGTGCCCAAGTCTCCCAGATCAGGAGAGGCAGCCTGTGGTCCAGCGTCTGACGGCATGGTGACCCGTTTGCTGACCGCACACCTGGCCCGCTCATGGTGTCCCTCCTGGCTGTATGTGGACCCAGTCAGGTAACACAATGTGCCTCAACGTCCTGTAGCGTGGCCAAGCGGTTGCAGCCGCTGCCAACACTGCCATGACCCCCTCCTCCTTAAATTACTGAGCATGTGAACCAGCTTGGAACGCCCACCCAGTTCCGCGTTCCGAAAACCAGAAGTGACTCACCGGAAGTGCGCCTGTGACGTCACCTCCGCCGCGACGCCACCATTCCTTACCAAAAAATCGGCCGAAGGAAACACAAAAAAACTGAGGTGGGTTTGTAGGAGTGTCTTTTTATCTAATGTGGATGTGTTTCCTGATTCAGGCGAGCGGAGCCCTCTCTCTCATTGGCTGTCCTGGAAGATGACTGGGGAAAATATTTACCTTCAGCCCCGATCAGGGATACGCAGTGTGCAGGCCCTTTTGTAGCCACACAGCCTTTCACCCAAAAACATCCTGCTGGGTCCTCTTCTATGTGCACATAGTCCCAATTTCTTCTATGGGAAGCTGTACGGATGGTGTTTTAGGGTGGCTCCTTTTCCTTGCAGAGTCCTGTGGAGCCACCTTTCTGTGTGCTAGTAAGCTGTGTGTGTCTCCACAAACACACAGGCACAGCAAGCCATTCCCCTCTCCCCCACTCCCTGCTCTTCCTTTCTCTCTTTTACAGGCTAGTAGAAGGACAGCTGCTGGGGACTGCTCTGTAACTTGTGATCTTGTACTGACAAGAAGTTCAGGGAACAAGTTGAGAGATTTGGAGTCAGCTGTTCAAAAACAATGACTGAAAGTGCTTCGGCACTTCGGCTCTTTAAAAATGTAACAAAATACTTTGCTGGGCAATGCATATTTGATCAGGATTTATTATTGTGAAATAGTTTGATCGTTTAATACTACTTTAAGGTCTAGTTACAACACCTGATAAAATTAAATTACTCAGCAAAGATGCTCAAGAATAGCCTTAAAGGCTAACTTTACTTTTGTAAGCATGTTTCATGCTACACCATTATTTAGGGTGTAAATGAAACATAGTTACATCTCCAACCCCCTACCTCCACACACACACACTTACCTGAATTGTGAGGTTCTTCTCCCGGCAGGCTGCGTCTCTTTTTTTTAACTTTATTTGGTGTGGCTGTGCGTGGCTACATCCAAACAGCTGCATCATCCATTCACAGATCCTTTCCAAAGATCTGTGAATGGAGTGGCTACAAATCCTAGCTGCTACCAAGGTGACGCCACTGCACTCGTAGTCTTTTCATACCCCTCCCCCCCCGTCCCTTATCTGAAAGTCTGTACCTTGGTACGATCAGGGGCTGGAAGGAACAGTCTGCAGGAGCAAATCCTGATCATGCACTGCTTGCATGTGTGTGCATTTATTACATTTTCACAAAAGCTGGACTATGCTTTTCAGCATGCCTCCTGCTGGATGCCAGTGGGTGGTACACAATGAAAATAATGACTAAAAATAAATACAAATATTTAAAAATTTGTATTCCTGTGCACAGTAAATCAAACTTATTCAAAATAATATAGAGAACATTGGCTTAATTCATTATCTCACCTGGCTGGTATATGTGTGCTGGCAGTCCCGCTGCATAGGGGATTGTGGGCCTGTCCTAGAGTGCCCTGAAGACTTCCATTAATATTTCCCATTATGCTGTTTAGTGACAGCATTCCAGGATTTCCAGAGAGAGCGCCAAGAAGAGGAAGAGCTGCTAGTGTAGAGGGGGCTCCGGGGACTGCAGCTCGTATCAGCCCATTCATTAGTTGCTCTGCTCCCATGGCAGGAAGTGATGGTGCTGTCTGAGACAGAGGACCTGGGGGAGGAGTACTATGGTGCGACAGACAGGAACTGCTTCTACTTGGGCAGCCAGAGTGTGGATCCTGTAAAGTGTAATGCAATTTAGAGAAATTAGAAAAAAAGGTGAATAACTGAGCAAGTTCTTGGAGCTGCAGAAAAAAGGGATACATATTGGGAAAAGCAGATTAAGGTATGGCAAATACAGGGAGAGAAAAGCAAAGAGTAGCAGTTAATACATATAGAGGTGTCAATGTGTGAAAATACAAAGAATACAATAAGATATGAGCAAAAAAGTTAAGCAGAAACAAGGACATTCTGGGAATTTCAGTATATATACGATAGATATAAGATAGAGTGAAAGTGGCAAATAAGGGGTGATAGGAAGTACAACTGGGTAGTAGGAGAAGAATGAGGTACTCATCTTTTTTTAGGCCCTAGAATCAACACAGCATTTCTCTGGAAAAGCTTACAAGCCAATATTATAAGTAATACGAAATCTCATAAAATTACGGTCCTAGCACAATATAACACATATCTGACAAATGCCTTCCCTTTTGGAATATCAGCATATGTGAAATAAACAAATAAGGGAGGAAAGTTACAAGGCACACAACAGGAAGTGCTCCCATAGCAGAAACTTATGCAAGTGCAAACAAATGCAAATACATTTTCTCGACCTTAGCAACCCATTGTACTTGCTGAACAATTTGAACCAAATGCAGCAATCCACAGAGCAGAACAATTTTAAATATCCTAATAAAAGTATCATGGAATTGCCATCCACTGTTAAAAATTATTTTTATTTAAAAAATGCAGTATTTTAAAAATACTTTTTTTTAGGAGAGCTGAAGAAAAAGTGACCAATCTCCTGGGAAACTAGTAAAGATCTGAGACATGATGGGTAGAGGAAAGATTATATGATGGCTGCTTTACAACATTTTTTGTTTACCAGTGTCCCAAACTCCTGTAGGCGGCACTATAACTTGAATGTAAATTAAAGCGGAACTTTACACTCAAAACTCAAATCCCACCAATGCATCCCTCTATTTATGCTGATTAATAATAACATAGACATGTTAGGTGTAAGGTGCTGTGATATTGAAATACTTACACTTGCAGAGCATTCACTTCCTGCTTTGAAAGTGCAAATGACTTCAGTTTGCCAACGCAATGCACACTGGGATTGCCTTGTCAATGAAATGAGATCTTGTTCATGGAAAAAAAAGAAAATAGCTGCACGATCTTGTGAGATTACTCTTTACAGCATGCAATGTGGATCGGTAGTTTCATTTTAGCATATGCACAAGAATAGCGGCGCATCGTCAGAAGGGGGTGTGGCCGTGGTAAATAATGAATTATTTACCTTGCTGACATGAAGGCAGCTTGGAAGGAGCGGCTTTTTCGGCGCCGAAAGAGCGGCTTTTTCGGCGCCGCAATTTAAACATGTAAAAAGGTATTTCTAAAAGAGGATAAAGTGTTTTAAATGTCTTTAATGTTTATTAATGCTTATGGGAATTTTTTTTCGATATTCCATTATGCAGTGTAAAGGTCCGCTTTAATTCCTGCATCCCTCAATTGACTATAAAGAAGGTAACACTAAATGGGAGTGTGTTCTTTATTTAATAATGTTTTGTTGATAAGTGCATATTTTATGATACTCTTCTTTGGACGTATAAGGACAGGAACAGTGGAAGTATGACCAAACAGCATCTCACAATCACCAGTCCATCTTTTCTCCCCCTCCCATTCACCTCACCTCAGAAGGAGAGTTTTCCATTCGAAAGCTGCCCTTTGAAGAAGGACTCTTATTGCTGAAGGAGTCCTGGGAACTCACTGAAGGCAGAGAAAAAACAGACACTGTTAAAGAACATCTGTCACAGATTAATCTACCATTCACTCGGTGTGAGGCAAAAGCTCAAAACGGTGTGCAATTTATAACACCAGTCTGTATTTCATGAATTTACATGGTGTTGGCCTTTAACACAGCAAAAACAAGAGAAAAATTACTGCAGACCGATATAATAAGAATAGTAACTTACAATTAGAGATATTGGTTGGTGGTAAACTTGGAGGAAAGGGGCAAGCCAGCTGGACATTGAGTAGCTGTAGCTTTTCTTTACGAGCCGTAAGAGTCAATATCTGATCCTGCAGGGAACGATTCTCTTTCTGCAGAGAGTGCAGAGCTTGAAGCATGTCCACAACTGTTTATGCAAATGTGAAAATTACATTGACTACACAGCTACATTGACTACATAACTACGAACAACAGAAGTGTACAGTGTTTTTATGCAAATTTAGTAATAAATGGATGACTACAATGACAATAAATTTACAGCAACTAATGAAAAAAACAAACATTCTCATCAGCAGTACAACATAAATTGGTCAAGCAGCAGAAAGAGATACAGATACATACAAAAATCATCAAATCCAGTAAAATGATATACAGTAAATCTAAAGTAGAACTGAGAACTATTCATGGCTGTGTTGCACCCTTGATCCTCCTTGTAGAGGGATGCTACCCGGAATACTGTAAAAACATTATTATTCTGAAAGACTGGAAGAGAGTGCAGTGACCTGGGCAGTTGCTGGATATAAATATTATTATTTAGCTGGGAATGTCATATTTTTTTCCTGCTCATGGACATCAGCTTTAAATGTGTGTATCTAGTAATAGTGAATTACTACCTACATGTCTGCCAGCAATTGTCACTTTCCAGTTTGCAGAATTTTGGATATAAATAATTTACTAGTTTATATCCATAGCACTACCATAATTTACAACTGGATTATATTCACATGACTCTCATACTTAGCAACTGGACTTTATTTACAGCACTGTCATGTGTCACAAACTAACATTAAACAGCAATATTGTGCTTGTCAATACTTCCTCTCATGCTTAATTTTGACCCACAAGCCCCCAAGTCTTACTGTTAACCCCTGCCTCTCCGTGCTTCTCCAGCAACTGCTCAAGGTTGGCTGTGATCTGTGGTACATTGTCGCTATTGGATGGGCCACTTGAATCAAACAGAGGAGGGAGACTACTGATGGGTGACCTAAAAGAAAAATCAAACAACATAATGGGACATCTTTCCTATATAATATTATTATAAAAAACTGAGGCGATTGAAACAACCTTTTTTCAATAGGAATTCTTCCACAGTTCCTATAAGTGCTCAGAGCATAGAACAGAGCCTATACCTGAGCAAATCACAGCACATGATTTGCAGCCCAGTCCAAAGCTGCACAGCATGTGTCAGTTTCAGGCATGAAAGCCTTCTCAGAGGCATGTGACTCTTAATCCTTTGCCCTGTGTGCTATAAAGAGAGATTGTAACATTTACTGCTGGAGGTTCTATCACCAGGAATTAATCTAACAGGAAAACATGTTCCACTTCCTGTTGCAGAATTTTGCACTGCAAAACTAATAACTTTCCAGCATATACAATGTTTACTTTGTAGTATCCATGAGATAAAAGAATGTACAGACATTCTTTTATCTCAATCACACAGTTTTCCCAAAGCAGTATGTACAATGGTAAACACTGTGCACATCCCTGTGCTGCGCCTCTTCTTCAGGAGTTTGCCCTAGTCTCTCTCACAGCTCACCCCACACTGTGTACAAGAGCTTCTCTGGCAGCTCCTTCCCATCTATCGGCACTATGTTGTTTTCCAGCTTTCCCCAATTGTCCACAATACATTTTCTAGTTCTCTCTCTACCGTTTATATTACATTCTCCCCACACTATGCTCCCTGAAAGCTTTCCCCTATGCCCACACTATGTCCTTTACACTGAACTCTCTGCAATTCTACGCTCACTCCCCATTCACAACACACAGCGTGTGTTACTATTTGCATAATTCACATGTGTGCTGCTGTGCACTGTACTGCGTTTTTAAAATACATTGCAGTGCTTTTTTTCCCAACTAGTATGTAATCCTTATGTGCTGCAGCATATTGCTATGCATTACAGCATCAGAACGCACTGCAAAAGTGCTACATGTCCTACTCTTTTTTACAGCGCACACCAATGCAGGGGGAGAGGCACTGTGACATAGATTATTGTGATTTAGTCATAATAAGCATGTGGATAAAGAACCAGAATTTCATTAAAATAATGACAGCCAATATCGTTTTTCCATCTGGGAACTAAGGTATCTTACAACTCATCCAAAGTTTTAAAAAAAATGTCTGTGCTCTGTCTCTTTTATTAAGAAGCTTAAATTATGTTTCTGGTATAAAGCATTTTAATGCAGTGTTACAAAACAAGTGCAACTTTATATACATGGACACTATTAAAAAAAAACCAGCAAAACAATAAAGAGCGGAAGGCAATGAAGTGATTAAAATAAAGTAATTAAGGGTAACCATTTATTTAATTTGAACAGGTTTACAATTCACATAGAACACCAATAATACATTCAAAAATGAATGAGCTGAGCTGTCACATTGACAGGTCAGCATGCATATTACACTGGGAGATCAGCTCTTCCAGTGTATCATCAACGCTCTACTGTCCATGTGACAGCTGTCCTCTGCACTGTTTATCAGGTGCTTTTGATATAATGCACAGACAGCTGTCATACAGACAGCAGAGCCCTGTTGATTACACTGCAGGGCTGTATTTTGACAGACCAGCCTTGGAGAGCAAAGGAGACAGCAGAGAGTAGAGTCATGAGACACTCCCATGCCAGTTGTGACCTGTCCACCACAGCGCCACAATGCCTGTCCTGCCTTTGGGTCAGTCTGGTCCTGGTCTTAAGAATTCTACAAACCCCACTCTCCACTATGCTATCCTGTTACATGCGGTCTGTGAACACTGTCTCATGGGTTCCATAGTGGAGACAGACTACCAAGTAGATAGTAATATATTTCATAAATATGCTGGAGCTGTGCATGTTGTAATCCCTGCCCCTTTCCAAGCACCATCTCTGCTCAGAGGTTTTCATGGCTGGTACAAAAACAGGATGGAGAAAAAAACAGTACATACATGTAGTGATGTCCAGTTCAAGAATGAACCGTTCTTTTGAATCGCTTGTTTTCAATGAACTGGATTAATCGATTCCGCTGACTGAACTGATTCGTTTGAAACAGTTCAGTGTTAAAGTGTTAAAGGAGAACTATGAGACGAGTGATTTACACTTGTCCTCATAGTTAAAGCTGACGTGTGACACTGAAACTGTCACACGTCGGCTCTATTGATCGGGAAGTGAGCGAACACATACCATGGCTGACAGAGCAGCGACTGTCAGCCACCGCTCCCCTCAACGTGATTAATAAATCTTGGAAATAAAAAAACTATTAAAAAAAGAGAGTACTTCTCTCAATTCTTAAAAAAAGACATTCATCACCCAAGGACTTTGGCAAAAAAATTCTGGGGCAGGCTTGGAGTGGGAGGGGTTATACAGGGCTGTCCTGAAGGTATCACCTGGTGTCCAATCACCTGAAGGTAGTTTCATAACACACTGGTCTAAGTATCACCTCCTGTGTCCTGTCCTACGATATCGCAGCAGTAGTGGATCAACTTCCAATCTGCTTTTTCTTTTTTCCTCCCAGTAAACTCCGTCTTCCAATATTCCATAATCAGCAGTGGCTCCTGTTATCTCTCCCCCATCCTTTAATTTTTTTATGATCTGCGGCTCTGCATATTCTTCCATTATTCCCTGATCATCTCCCTCTCTGCCTCCTATTCTTCCCCAGCTCCATGTTCAGTTTACACTCTGTCGCCTCCTATGATCAGTTCCAGTGAGATGGTATAGATGACCAGATTTGTGTTCAGCACCAAAACTATTCAGCCTAAATTCTGCTACTTTTTTTTTAATCCTAAAATTTTACTAAAAGTAGCAACATTTTTTTCCAATACTTACATGGAGGAAAGACTTTCTCTTGGAGAACTTCCACTACACACAAAGCTGCAATCTTCGATTTCAGGCTCTGGATAACAAATATGCTTGCCGTTAGTGCTAATGTCACTGTTTACATTCACAGAGTGTGAAGCATAAGAAAAACATTAGAACATTTATTTTCTCTCAACAGAATATTTCAACAATCTTCCCATAAATTATGTGTTCACTTAATGTGTAGTAAGAATGTAATATTCCTGTAAAAGCGGATGTTCAGATTCCAAGTACCGTACTCGGTACAAATACATGTACAGATACTTTTCGAGCTCCAAGACTAGACTATAGAAAACCTCAAAAGTTTCGGCGGGCTATGGACCCGCCGATCGCCTATATGTGAAACACCCGGTAACGGGTGTGTGCATTTAGCGGGTCTTTTCTGCCCGTGCGTGCCCGCTAGGGGGCGCGCGCGAGCAGAAAAAAATTGCCGTCTGGAGACGGCAACCCGCAGATGCTGCAGTGCCGTCCGTCCGTTTTTTTACTACGGGCGGACGGCAAGAGGTTAAGGAGCATATGGAGCTCCTGGGATTTGTGCATCCTTGTTTTAATGTATGATTTTTTAAATAAATATATATAAGTGATGCACCATTACCATTTTTACAAGTACAAAGACTGATACTTGTCCAAGTACTCACAGATACAAGTACTGATACATTTTAGTTTATTGTCATGTGACAGTTTTTCTAAAACAATACAGACTAATGATTTTAGGATAGTCGTGGAGCGCCAGGGCCCAGTCACAGCTCCCTGGTAGTTCTCGTGAAAATGCCAAGTATCTACACTGGTATCTGAACATCACTAGTAAAAGCCTCTCTTGTGAGAACTTTCAAAAGCCCTGAGGCATTTCTAGGCCTCACAATCTTGATTTTGATGTCAGCAGACTCAGAGCTGTTACTTAAGTGATACTATCTAGTATTCCCCTTTGCTCCTCCCCGGGCTGCTATATAAAAGTAGAGAGGTGAAGGGACAGGCAAAGGAGTTCCCAACACAGAAAGTAATTGGACATTCCCAGAAGAGGAGAGGGCCATAAAGTGCAAGAACGCAAGGGGCTGTGCAAGGAAACGGACCCTTAGGAAGCAGGCGAATGTGGTAGGGAGTTCAGAAGCACATTGCAAGCCAACAAAAAATGGAGTATAAAAAGAAAAAAGTGAGAATTTAGAAAACATTTTTCTATGCTTTTACCTGCAATTTCTAATGATGGTGACAGGGTCTGTTTTAGTAGATGTAAACCCTGACATGTATTCTGTTAAAAGAACCAAGCATAATTAACAATTACCATGTTTAAAAAAAAAAAATTAAATGCTTGTTGTCATTTTTGTTGCAGCTAGGTGCTACTGCAGCACCTTTGTAGCCACCTTTTGTCTACTTACATGTACTTCAGCGGTGGCTACTTGGTATGTTTTAGTGCAGGTTTTCTATTGGTGACAGCAGTGAACAATGCCAGCATAATGTGTGTCACAAAAACCACTTGTAGTCCCCATCAGAAGTCCATGTGACAAGGTGACAATGCAAGAGCACATGTTGGAGGCAAGCACAGACTGTTGTAATTTCATAGCAGGATGTTTTTGATCAAGGACTTTAATTGCAGAATCACCAGGTATTATTTAAACGAACACTACAGATTTTAAAATACAGAGAAATACTATTGAAATTACATTAACATGTTACAGCTCATATAGCGATTTTTTTATTTTAAAGAAAACAAACTCTAAGGCTTTGCACAGCTTTTACAGCTTTTAACATTCACTACAATCCCACATTTAGTTTACTAATTTGTGTTGAGACTGTAGTGCATCACAGGAGTGAACTTGGAGCGATGGCTATTTTACAATACACACAGGGACCATGGGGAACAAAAGTAGCCACCCTCCAGAAGGAAGGACAGTGTCAGCACCAATTCAGAGATGATTTGAGGATCTACAGCTGAGTTATACACAAATAAGATACATTTGTGTTAATAGTTAAGGTATTTGAATGCATTTTTAAGATTTAACTCCTGAGTTTAGTGTCACTTTAAGACATTATGTTTGTGTAGCATTGTCTCAAGTTTCTCCTTGTCACAGAGGGGTTCTTCCATGGTACTCAGATACAGTATTGCAGTATTGTGCATAATAAAACACAGAAATACCAAACACCACATCACAAATGGTACGTTCTTTAGACATTATTGTAAATGACAATATGAAGAAAAAAACATCAGCTTAGCCGCAAAGTGTCTATAGAAATTGTATTTTCAGGCTCCAGAAAAAAAAAAGAGCCAATTTAATTTAATTATCGCTAGAAGATACATAATAATTATATTACAACAATTCTGCAATTCCCAAAGGCATTTGTAATCCAGAATGCAGGATGTGCAATGTGAGAAATCAATTTTGTACATCTACAGTCATAGCCAAAAATATTGGCACCCCTGCATTTCTGTCAGATAATGCATCACTTCGAGCAGAAAATTGTTGCAATTACAAATGTTTAGGAATTCTCTGTCTGAGCTATCTCTGCTACTGAGAGGGCTTAGCAGCAAAGAAAGTGATTTCAAGTACAAAAGAAAAAATCCAATTTCTCAATCATTTATTAAGGGACACTGCACTTCTAGAGTCAGTACCCTGGGACATCCAAAAGCTCCCAAATAAAGGGATGGGTACTCCCCAACAGTTGCCAAATCTGAAGTAAGCCCAAAAGCAAACCAGAAATTTTACGCAGATGCCTGCCAGACCTTGTAGCCACATCCATTATAAATGTATGAACTGAAGCCCAGGCTGCAGTTTTACAAACCTGGGAAAATGAAGGCTGATGGTGAAAGCCCAGGAAGTACTCATCGCTCTAACAGAGTGAGCTCTAAAAGGAAAGAGGGAACCCTGTGTTTCGAGGAGTCTGGACAATGGTTTGTCTGATTTATCTGTAATTGCTGGTACTTGATACAAGATTAACCTATGGGGACTGCAGGAATCACAAAAGGGAATCTGGCTTCCGACACAACCCTGACTGCCCACACAACATCCACCGCTACTTATTTTGCTTGCACTGGAGCTATGACCAAGGAAGGTAAAACTAGGTTTTTATTAATATGGAAGGCTAAAACTACCTTGGTAAAAAAAATAACTATCTGGGCTGCAAGTTGGAGTCTAATCTATCTCTTTGAGAAGTCCTCCCTGTAGGGATAAAGGACTGAAGTTTTTGGGAGACAAGAATGGCTTGTCTGGATGCTTTTATTATTGAAACTTAATTTGTCAGGGGATTATAAGGGAAAACCTCTGGAGAGCGCTCAGGTTTGTAGGACACCAGACCAGCTACCTTGAATAAGGACAAAGGTGGTCTCCTTCCATAATGAAGAAAGCTTACCAGTGGGGATGCACCGAAATTTCGTCAGCCGAAACATATCGGTCGAAAATGGTACTTTGGGCAAAAAGCCGAAAGTACCATCTTTCATCCGAAATGGCGGTGCATCAGTGATTTCTCTTCTCCTCGCTGGGCACTGCTCTGTGTCCCCTCTGACACAGAGCATCGTCCAGCGGGGAGGAGAGAAACTGTCAGGAGGCCGAGCGGGGAGGAGAGCATCCCCGCACCACCCCACTCGACCTCCTGTGACAAGTCAGGATGGAGGGTGGGGTGGGAGGGGGGGGGGGGGGGGGGGGGCCTA